CAGCCTAAAACATGTTCTATATAGTTAAAATAGATCCAAAAATTTGCAAAATCCCCACCTCCATCCATATCCATTTGTTCCATAATGTTTACACTAGAAGCAAGACCAAGGGTTGACATCTTGAAAATAAATGGGTATTGGCTAGTAGAAGTTACTTGCCATATAAACAAACTCCCATAGGAACATTTAAGCCCTATACTCATGAATAAACTCATAGGAACATTTAAATTAACACCTTAGGGGATTGGTAGCTAACCTTTCAAAGAAGTAATTGTTCTTGTCATGGTCAGAAATGCATTTATTTGCAATATATTCCAAATAGCCACCACAATAAATAATAGATATTAAACATTCAAAATAGGTGAAATGGGTTATCTTTACTTTGTAATAGTTATATGGATCTATATGAGTTTCCATGCCCTTTATCTTGCTTAGGGAGCTTGTTGGTGGAAATTTGAAGAAAATATTCCCATCATAAGAAGGTGGAAGTTCTTTATATTTCCTATACTCAAACTCCTAGAAATCTAAATATAGCAAATAAAATTACCAAAATTCAGTCTCCATTGCTTCAAAGACAAATCCATTAGGACTACACCTCTTGGTTTGGGAAGCTAAGTAAGGAAGTTGATCTTCTTTATTTTCATTGCTGGAGACAACAATGATTTAGTCCTTCACTTGACTTACAATCAACTAAGAAATTAAAGCACCCTCATTGAAACATTTTGGAGATTCTGTGACAAGAATCTCATGATTAGTACATCTATCAAAATCCATTGAATCCCTCCCACACCACTATCAAGGAAGATAGATTTTTCTACTAGATTTATCATATTGCAATATACATACTTAACATAAATAGAACTAGGCCTCAATTTGAATGTTTTACAAAGAAAACTTTCTCTAAAAATACTCTAAAACAATTGGAGGCTCTTGATTAAACTTCAAGTGGAACTCTCTCCTTGCATTAGATTATTATAAAACTTCTGAGAAGCTCACAATTAAGAATATAGATATTCTTTCTTGATTGAGTAGAAAGGAATTTAAGATAGAAAATTTATCTAAAGTATTGAATAATTGTGTCCTTATAAGAACATATTATAAACTCTTAAATTTTTACTTCTTGGGAGGTCACCCAGCTCAATACTATTTAAATCTAAATACACTTAACCCCAAGTATCCCAAAACCTTAATCAATTGGAAAAGGGGGTGTATTTTTATTCATGGGCCCTTTCTCTTTATATTTGAACCTCTATAAATTATCTTTTAAATCGTTCTTTTTGGTTACTTACAATTCACCACGCTTTTCTACAAATTCATGCCCTCGTAAATAAAAGTTAAGAGCCCCATTGACACCCTACCCCTCAGGTCAAGCCCAGCCAAAGCACACTAGACTTACTAAGTGTCAATTAATATGTGGCGTGATTCCCCTAGCTAACCAACAAAGTCAGACTTGAGACCCCTCTTATACCAATTGTAAGTTTTTGAATTTAAATTTTCCGAGAGGTCACTCAACTCAGTACTATTTAAACCCAAAAACATTTAACCCTAAGTATATCCCAAGACTTTTAACCGATTGAGAAAAAGGGTGCAGTCTTATTCATGGGCCCTTTCTCTCTATATTTAAATATTTATGGATCATCTTTCGAGTTGTTCCCTTTGAATGCTTACATATATTAACATTTTGCATATAATGAATTTATTCACTTAGTAAGTCAACTATTTACAAATCCACATCACTAGAAGATAGGAAGATACCCATTAAATCACAATAATTGTTAGATACTAATTGTAATAATAAAGATAATAAAAAATGGGTTTTTCAAAGGTCTTTATAGTGCACTAAATTCATGCACATCTAGCAATAAATGTAGTTGCTAGATCAGCATGGTTACTCCTTTCACTTATGCAATAGACATGCTGAAAGCCTTGGTAGGGAGGCAATTCTTCATCGATTAATAAAGAATCATATCAACTAAGGGGCTTATGAGGTTCATCAATATCAAGTCCTTCAACAATTGATGCACTCAGCTGGAGTCATTTGAGAGGGGTTATAACTTCTATTTGTCCTTTAGAGCATTCTAAGTGGGTCTTAAACCTAGTCTTTACAAGAAAAGCAAATAGCAAGCTTTAACTCTATAGACTTCAAGAATTTAAACAAGGTTACCACAAAGTAAAGGATCACTTTCTTACACTTTTTATGGAAGCAATCGTGGATAAGATGGTGAGACACCAATTCTACTCCTTTATGAATAGTTTCTCTAGCTCTAGAGGATCATGACCTCACAACCTCAGGGAAATTGTCAAGCTAGATTTACAAATAAAACCCTCAAGAATATATTTAAGAAGATCATGAAGATAAATGAAAAAGACTCAGACAATTGTATCCATAACACTCTATAAACATACCAAAATTGCTTACACAAATGGCAGTACACTATGAGATCAACCAAAGAGAATCAGTCAAGAAAAAATTAACTATACTAGAGAAGCTCAATAAAGAATAACTACAAGTAATCTGGACGCTTGAAGCCATTCAAGCTAAAAGAAAAACTAACTACAATAAAAAAAAAAAAACTTAAATCAAATTTTATAATTTCGAGTAAACATAAAGAAAATTGGCTCAAAGATGAAATCAAGATAGGAAAGACCAATTCTTCATCCAACAATTCAAAAATCCAAAAATAGTAGTAATTGCAATATTCAACAACAAATATCTCTAAACTATTAACTTTAAAAAGCTTAAGAAATACCAATCAATTGATATCAATCTTGTCAACAATCTAAGAAAAAGTTAAAATTATAACTTTAAAACCCTACCACTCAAGAATTACAACCTTAAAACTTAAGAATCCAATATTGAAGAGAATCATGAGTATAAAGCTCAACAATCCAAAACTTAAAATACAAAGCTCAAAATTTTGACACAAATAAAACAAACAAGAATCAAAATCAAGATTCCAATAGAAAAAAAAATCTTAAGAGTCAAACTTAATAACTCAACTCATAAAAGAATTGTAAGTTCTAGACACAATTTCAAGAAGATTCTCAAAAATCAAGTTTGAGAATTCAATTTAAAGTAAAATCTCAAACTTCAAATTTATGAAATCAAGAAAAGACATGAAGACTGAAAACAAAACTAAGAGACACAACAATCTACCAAGACTCATCAATTGCACACAAGATCAAGAGAAAATATGCTCTATCAAAAAGACAATAATAACAAAAAGAAAATTCAAAGTTAGAGATTTGAACCCAGATCACTCAACTTAGTTAAATTTGGGGCAAGGGCAAAAACCATAGCTTTGGCATCTTTGGCTATGGCATAGTGCATTGAGATTAAAAAAAAAGAATAGGGAAATGGAGCATGCAAGCATGTGGCATTACCAAGGAGTTCAACTTCAATCCTAAAGTCCTCAACATGATCAAAATGAGTCTATTCTTGCTGTGCAATCCAACTTAAAAGGACTGAAGAGTTTGACAAGTGGCTATATAAAAAAAAAAGATTTTATGAATTTTCAAAGATTATAGAGAACCCATACAATCTCAACATCACCAAGAATCTTCTCTTAACATACAAAGAAGACTTTGTATACACCAGCAAATATGAGTCTGTCATGCATGCTAAATATTTTGTGTAGGCTTTCAAGCTTTCCACTGGTGGAGAGCAAATGACATTGATCCCATGCACGAAGGGGGTTTCACCAAAATGCATCAAAGTCCTCAACAACTACAACAACAGCAACTCTCTACAAATGAACAATGTGATTGATGAAGCAAAGTGGCAGCTCAAGTTTTTTATCCTCAGGCTTGGAGATGCAGAAGTCAACAACCTCTACTGGTGAAGCAAATTGCAATTCTCTATAACAACTTGTAGCGGAAAACATGACATTGCGAGCTACCTCCACAACAAGTTCATCAAGGAATCAACTTGACAATGACCATGCTCCAAGACACAAAGCTTGGCATGACTTCAGTCCAAGCTTCTCCCATCGTGGCTCCTCCCAACATCACTCAACCAGCTCAGAATTAAGTGGAAATTGTTCCATGTATGCAAGATTCCCTTACAACAATAACTGCTACTCAACATTATAGCCTGAGGAACTTATCTAAACAAGGGAATCTTGATAATCAATACCACGTCTTTCAGGCCAAAGATAACAATCTAGAAAACCATTTTACTTACGAGCAAAAATGGAGGCACCAACTTTCATTTGGTGTTCATCAGCCTTCAACTCAGCCCTTTACATGCATCTAAATTTTCACGTAAAGGAGCACATTCTTCTAGTTGTTGTTTCAGACTTGTAGCTTAATTAACAAATTTTTAATGTTGGCTATTCTGGCTTGGTCGCAAAGTCTGCAATGAGAGCGAGTGATCGCTGACACCCGCTATGGGCAGCTGGGAGCCTTCTCAAAGATGCCGCTACTCGACAAGTCCAGGCATAAGTTTCTGCAGTGTCTGCGATACTCAAGAAGGCACGAGCCGCTGGTGTAGGTGAGGAGTTGCTATGCACAGACGTCAGAGGTAGCTTCCGTGGTTGCGCTGGGCATGCCAGGGATTGGCAAGTCAGGTTTGTCTTCGTGCTCCTGTGGGAGCTCCTCCCGAAGAAGCCTTCTCAAGTTCAGAGAATCCAACAGGTTCTAAGAACGGCAAGAAGGCCGAAGAGGAAGGCACGGTGTGGTACCTGGTGGACTGGGAGATCGATGAAGGTCACTGGAGCCTTGCAAGATCGTACCTGCAGAATCACGGTCACTTTTTCATGAAGGGAGATTATGTGATTAAGCTTTTCATCCTGACTTGGTCTCCGGACACGCTCAACGATCAGGTGTTCAAGCATCAAAAAGCAGAGGTAGACGAGAGTGGGGATCCAAGACAGGCATGCATCATGGCAAGCTTAAGAGTGCGATACAGTGTTGTGGCTCTCAGATGGTGAGAGATCACATAACACTCGAGGATGAAGAGACTTACGCCGTCACCTCCAAGAAGCTAGCCACGTCGTATGTTACAGACAAGGTGCCGGCTCCACTTTATTCCTTTTTAGCTTTGCTACTGATTATTTCTTGAGACGTAGTCTCTCCTACATTCGAAAGCTTTGTGGAGGAGAGTAGAATGTAAGGAGCTGATTCATAGCAGTGCGCGTCATGGTGTCGCATATCAATAATCTGTCCAGCAGCTCGATCATCAGCTCCTTTCGCATCACTTTGCTGGCTACAAGCCGAGAGTAGCGTCGTCCAAGCAAGAGCTTGCGGCTCAAAAGGCATAGCGTTGATGAGATCCTCAGCCTCTCTCAGTTGCCCTGAGCGAGCCAACAAATCCGTCATGCAATGAAAGTTGTCCGCGTTTGGAAAGATCCCATGGTCGCCGCTCATCGACACGAAGAACTCGTAGCCAGGCTTGAGCAGCCCTCTGTGGCTGCATGCGTGAAGGATGGTGTTGAAGCTGAGCTCGTTAGGAGCTATGCCTTCCAGGAAAATGAGCCGCAAGTGATGGATCGCCTCGTTGGTCTGACCGAAATGTGCATAAGTCGCAAGCATCGCATTCCAGGAGATTGAATCCTTGTGCTTGAGCTTCCAAAACACCGCTGCTGCCTCGTTGAAGCTCCCGCACTTGGCATACATGTCCATGAGCGCGGTGGCCACCACGAAATCTTGGTCAGCGAGCTGGGCGTGGATCTCCCTGCCATCTTTCACTGAAACCATGTTGGCACAAACGCTTAGAATAGTAGCGCAAGTGTAGCTATCCGGCTTTTCAGTGCCTTTCGAAAGAAGAAGCTCGTACAGCTCGAGCGCTTGTGTGTTATACCCGTGTTGGGCATACCCGGCGAGCATCGCGTTCCATGTAACCGTGTTCCTCCTTTGCATTGCATCGAAGATGGATTTAGCAGGCTCGAGCTCCCCACACTTGGCGTAGAGATCCACCAGAGATGTCCCAACGACGAGATCACGCTCGACCATCCCAGTGGAAGCAACTCGAGCGTGGATAGACTTGCCACTCTCCAAGTCTCGCAGCTCCGAGCATGCCTCGATAACGCTCGAGAAAGTGAAGCTATCCGGCTGGGCTCCCTCAAGGCACATATTCCTGTAGAGCTGGAGAGCTTCCCGGCTATGCCCAAACTGGGCATGGGCCGAAATCATGGCACTCCAAGACACTGTATCCCGGTGCTCCATCTCCTCAAACAAAGCTCTAGCTTCTTCAAGGCTGCCACCTTTCGCATACATGTTAAGTGCCGCTGTTTGCACGACTTGGTCGCTTGTACCACACTGGAGCGCTCGCGAAAGAATCTCCTTCCCAAACCGGATGCCAGAGGAGCTCGCACAAGCGAGGAGAATGGTGGAAAATGTAAAATCATCAGGCTTGACTCCATCGAGTTCCATCCTCCTCAGGAGCTTAAAAGCTTCGAGAAAATCACCAGTGTGGGCATTTGCTGCAATCATAGCGTTCCAGCTGACGTGATCTCTTCTGCTCATCCTGTTGAAAACATCTCTAGCTTCCGTAATGCTGCCTCTCTTCGCATACATGTTTAGCAGAGCGTTTTGGAGAACCAAGTCGGATTCGAGCTGCCGGGAAACGATTTGCTGATGTATAAGTCGGCCTTGTACAAGAAAAAACCCACTATCGCCAAAAGGAGAACAGCACAATCCCAAAACAATCACAAAGGTGGCGAGGTCAGGCTCGACGTCGATCTTCCCAAAGAGCTCAAGCCCAGTTTCATAATGCCCTCTCTTGGCAAATGCTGCTAGCATTGAGTTCCACGAGATTACATCTTTCACGGCCATGGAATCAAATACCTGACAAGCTTCGCCCAAACTTCCAGATTTCGCGTACATGATCACTAGCGAGTTCTGGATCACCACATCGCAATGTAATCCCAGCCTAGAGATGCGCTGGTGAATCGCTCGCCCCTGTCCAAGAGCGCCCGCCTTGCAGCACGCACCAAGAACCGCCGAGAAGACGAACTCATCCGGCAAGACCCCCTCCAGATCCATTGCATGGAAGATCTGGAGAGCCTCCCAAGGATGCCCATTCTGGGCATATGCCGAGATCATCATCGTCCAGCTATAAATGTTCTTGGCGGCGATGTGATCAAAGGCAGCGCGGGCCAGCGGCGCGCTCCGGCACCTGCCATACATCTGCAAGAGGAGATTCCCGAGCAGCGTGCCCGAATCCTGACCAGAGTCTCGCAGCCGCGCGTGGATCGTGATGCCCTCGCGCAGATCCCTGCATTGCCGCAGCAGCGCCGCGAGTGCCTGGATCGAGGCTCGCGTTCTGTGAGGAGCAGCCGGAGAGATGTCGTCCGGCGAGGCTCGGCATTGACGGTGCTGTCCAAGAACCGCACTCATCAATCATGCTTTCTTGGCTTAGCAAAATATTTTGCAAAGCTCTCCACGAGATCGTTGGTGTTGCCACTAGGGAAGCGCCTTTATAATTATATTTTCAAGCATACTCCTTGGAAATTCCTCTTCGTTTCTCGTTTACTGTGTGGACGCCCCCTTAAAAACGGGAGTGGTGCGCGCAAACCAAAGCTAAACAATGATAAGGATTTGGAGCTCCAAGCTTGTTCTTCAATCCTCCCATTGCTCTTCACGCCTGCGACTGGGATCGAGATCCAAAAATCCTACCAACGCTCCGGCGATCGATCAATCGTTGTTTGTGGAGTTCCAGGAGGCAGTCCCATTCGGGGACGTGTTCGGGGCATTAGCAACGGCAACGAGCTAATAAACACTCAGGTGAGATTTCCTCTAACTTAATTCTTTAAAATAAATATTAAACTCAATAAATTGAACTGAAATAGACATTATTAAAAGGAAAAAGAAAGGCAAAAGGCAAGGTATGATCATAAGTGCATCTTTTATTTACTCATGTTCAAATATTTTATTTGTTTTCAATTGCACACAAAATTATTATGAATACGATTGCTTATTATTACCAATTGAAATATGATTGTGTGCATTATAATATTGACATCACTGCAGGGGCATGCCATCTGCACAAACACTTTATTCAAAGTGTGCAATTAGATTTGATTCATGTACAAGAAAGCATAAAGCATTGTAAGATCTTGTTGTGGTGATCAGTGAGTGACATTTCTATGGTTTTTATGGCTCCTTGAGATTTTGTGGTGGTGGAGATACAAACCAATCATGTACATGCCACAACTCGTCTGGGATGGATCCCACAAGGAAATTTGTGCTGATATCCAGGATCAGTTGCCAGTGATGTTGAGCTGCATGAGATTGCCAGACTGCTGCAGCGTTGGAACTGAGCAGTGCTCATTGAGGTCAGTGAGGTTGGAGATATTGCTGACGCTGGCTTGGATCTCACCAGAGAGGGAATCTTCAAAGATCTGGAGTGAGCATGGGAGGCTGGGTGTTGGGCTGGGGCTGCTCAAATCCAGCTGTTGCAATACCACAAGACTTAAGAAGAAATTTGCAGAGGCCAAGTTTCCAAAGCTGCCCATCCAACAGTGTGCGAATATCAATCCTCCTAGTGGGAGAATTCAAGGCAAGATTGAGTTCCTCTACATCAAAGAAGTGGATGTGAATTTGCATGAAGAATTCATATGTGGTTGTATGCAAATATAAGTCACACAAATGAAACAATTTAAACACGTATGTTTTATCTTGCAATATAATTAAATTGCCGCCCATCCTAGGTACACCTTTCGGAGCTGTACCTCCCCCTAAAACATTTTTTTTTGAAATCAAGACACAAAGATATCTTAATAAAGGTTTAGAACTTTAAATTAATTTTTTATATTATAAAAAATAAAAATTTAACTTTAAATAATTCTTTTCAATTTTATTAAATTTTTAATCATGTAAAGAAAAATAAATTAAAGAAAATTTATACTTAATTTTATATTTTAATAAAAAATTAAATATAATACAGAGTTAGCTGGCAAATGCTGTCTATATTTGTTTAATTTTAATTTCAAAATTGAATTTCAAAAACAATTATATATATTCAATGACAGTAATAAAGTGTTTACACCAAAATAAGTACAT